TTTTAGCTCGAAATAAAAAATTTATATAACAATATATTACATATATTATTTATATAATAATATATTATATATATTTATGTCTAAATTTAAATCATAATGTCTCATGTAGCAATGTGGTTAGTGTCTTCTTTTGTATAGATTTGATCCAGGTTCGAATCCCACACATTACATCTATTTTTCTCAATTTTAGATTAACGAGCCAATTTCGAGCCGAACACGAGCCGAACACGAACACAAATATTTAAATCGAGCCGAACACGAATACACTGTTCACGAGCCGATTTCGAATACGAGCCGATTTCAAACACGAGTTATTTCGAACGAGCCGAACACGAGCCAAGCCTGAGCTCGCTCAAACTCGGCTTGTTTACAGCCCTAGGAATTGTCCACCAACGGTAAAAAAGGTATCAACAAACCTTTTTAAATTGTGCCCAATGCCTCGTCACTTCTCCCTCGGCCATTCTCCATTCTCCACTCTCCACTCCGCTTTTTATTGCCTCAGAGCCTTTTACTTAGCCGCCAAGTCTTCTTCCTCCCCTCTCCTCTCCAACCCAAGCTTCCAAGTCCAAAAGCAAAGCAAAGCACAGAACCAGCAGTTGAAAGAGAAGCAAACCAAAGAAGAAGAAGAAGAAGAAAACAGTTTTGGAAGCTCTACCCTCTCTAATGGCGGAGCCAAACTCACCTGTACTCCATTCCCCTACCACCAAGAATCCAGCCTCAGATCTCGCCGCGCAGAAGAACAACAACACACCACCCAAATTTCTCTCAAGCTTCCTCTACAAAGCCGTCCTCTTCGCCATCTTCATCGCTCTCCTTCCCCTTTTCCCTCCCCAAAACCATGAATCCAGCAACCCCACCTTCCTCTCTCGAACATGGGAGCTCCTCCATCTCCTCCTAGTCGGCATCGCCGTGTCCTACGGTCTCTTCAGCCGCCGAAACGCCGACCCTGATCTCGACAAAGAGAAGGAAAAAGATGCCTCCTTTAAGCACGATACCAACTCCTATTTTTCCAGAATCCTCCAGATCTCGTCGGCCTTCGAAGATGACGATAGTAAGGCCGAAACTTGGAGCTCACAGTACCACCGCACCGACCCCGTCATCGTTGAGAGCAAGCCTTTGCTTTTGCCTGTTCGCAGCTTGAAGAAATCTCTAGTTCAGAACTCGGATTCGTTAGGCTCGTCAAGCGCTGTGCTTTCTTCCCCCATTCCATGGAAATCGAGAAGTGGGAGAACGGAAGTGAGAGACGAAGGTCCTGCCATGGAGGATGAGTCACTAAGCCCATCCTTCTATGCGAAAGTTGGCTCCTTTTCTCCAAACGAGGATTTCATAACAGAGAAGAGTTTCCAAGTAGCCTCTCCACCACCGCCGCCGCCGCCGCCGCCGCCACCTCCTTTCAGTCATGGATCCCTGCTTCCAACAAGGAGGGAAGCGAAGAAGAGCTTCAAGGATGAATTGAAGGATTTGAGCATAAAGGGAAGAGAGGGATTTCTCAAAAACAGTTCTTTGGACTCTTCACCCCCGAGATCAGTCCGAACTGTGAGAGCGAAGGAAGCTCAATCAATGGAGAGAGCTCCACCTCTGCATCAGCAGCAGCAGCAGCAGCAGAGGTATCATGCTGAAACAAAGATTAAGAAGAAGAAGAAGGTTGAGTTTATGGAGAAGATGATTGTGATGTCTGATGATTCTGAAAGTGAGAAAGCGAGTGATTCATCCGATACTGAAAAGGCTGCGAATTCGTCCGCAGAAGTGAGGGCTGAAGCGGAGGAGAATGAGGTGGATAAGAAGGCTGACGAGTTCATAGCCAAGTTCAGAGAGCAGATAAGACTTCAGAGGATAGAATCTATCAAGAAATCGAGTGGTCATCGTGTAGTTAAGAATACGAAGTAGTTAGTGTTGCAGAATTATGTACAGATGGAAATCATGGTGATTTGCATCGCTTATCTTATGCTTTTGTTCTTTCGCTCTATTTTTTCTCTTTTTTTAATTTCTTTTTAAACTTGCGCATGTAAGAATCGAGATTCCATACATGCATGAATTCTCATTGTGATTTTATATGAAAGCTAACAATCCAAAGGGCTCTGAGAAGTGTTAGGGAAGAAAGAACTGAAGATTTTACATTACAAACCAATCATTTCTTATGTATCTACATATCTAACACCTATATTTTAATTTTTGTATATGTACCTCCTTATCTATGCATGAAAAGATGTATGTCATCTTTTAAAAGTTAAAATGGTTGTATGTTTTTATGCAATATGAAAGATTTGGGTGATTTAAAAGAAAAATTGAAAGTTTAGGGGTCAAATATGTAAATACATAGGCATTGAGTGGTGTGTATGTACATACCCCAAAATGAAATTCTGATGGCTTGGTGATGAAGCTAATAGATAACTGAATAGTTTGTAGAGGAATCTCTGCATTTGAAAATAAACATTTATAAAAAAAGAATAAGGTTGATCGTCGTCAATGAGAAAGTTTGGTTACATCTTCATTAATATGTAATTAAATTTGAATGCCTAGTCAATAAAATAATGAAATTGAGGGAATTTTTCAAAAGGTATTAAATGCAAGAAGACGACCACATTTCCCTCATAAACTCCACCGAAACGAACAATAATCAGAGATAGTTTATGGCTAGAAAAAGAAAAAAAACCATAATATAAGAGTTAGTTGATTACTTGTATATTATAATCCTATCAAAATAATATAAGGCTAGTAAAGCAATACTGACTAAATTTCAGAGGGAGTAATCCCAACCCAAGCTCTCTATTTCCTGCAAAAATGCCTTTAAAAAGAAAATTTTGTCTGATTATTAAAATAAAACTTACTTTTTATTGTGCTTCTTCATAAATACAGGTGACTGAAGAACCAGAGGACCATCTGAAGAAAAACACTACAATATGTCAAGCAATTATAAGACTTTATATCCCAATATTGTGCTTTATGCAACTAGAACTGATTTCAAAACAATGAAAATATCACCATATATACTAAGTTTACACCTAAAGCGCTACATGAAAAACTTAAACGCTGTACACAATAGGGTAAATTACAGGCATAATAAAATTGTTACATGTAGAAAAAGAAATCCCCCTTACTCCGTAATATCGAAACAAAGCTTAGCTTCATCCCAGGGACCATTAATTTCAAACTTATATTCCTGTATCTGAATAAGCCAATAAGGACAAACGACGGAAATGAACACTAGAAGAGCTAAAAACAGAACAAAGAGCATCCGGTGCATAGCAAATATGATGCCTAATGTCATGGCCATTAGTGAAAAAGAAAACCACAAGTGCAGCCGAAACGAGTATTTTGTTATACAGAAAGCAACAAACGGAGCGAAAAGGAAGATCTGTAATGAAAAGAGCATCACGGAAAAGACATGAAGCCTGGATGGGAGACGAGAGGCTATCAGAACTGAAGCTATAATAGATGCATTCATGGAGATATTGCTAGCCAAAGTTGGATTGTTCTTAGCACCTGGAGGTCTTATGGTGTAGCCAGAAAAGTCATGCAAGAAGAGATGGATTAGTAGCAGTGACACTGAAAGCGCCCATATAGAATCTGAGCTTATAGAGCGTGTAAGAGTGTGATAAACTGGTGCTAAGATATACAGCCCGCTGATGAAGAAGAAGATCTTCAGAAGGTAATGCAGGAAGAGATGAAAGGAAAGCTCGCTTGTTGTGAGGAAGATTATTGGGAAGCCGAGGCCAAGAAGGCCAGCATCCAAAAAGAGGAGAGAGGTCTCGTTAATGGCAGAATTTAAGGTCTGGATCCAGACAATAACGACAAGAGCTGCAATGCAGAGATATTGGGATATGGAGACAGAATCTAGCATTACTTTGAAGAAATTTCTCTTCACAACATTAGCATTCATGATCATGTCTTCCAAGAATGACTCGTCTGTGTGGTTATCATCGTACCCTGGCTGCATTCCTCCGTATGCAACTTTCCTCCATTTATGCTTGCTGTAACTCTTCTTAGTTTCACTCTCCATGGATCTTTTAAGTCAGATTATTTTAGCTCAGCAGCACCTTTGGCGCAGAGAAATTCCACCAAATCCTAGAGTTCAATGCTTCAAATCTTTCCAAACACCTGGTTCATGTTGTAAAGCACATTCACTAGTTAAGACTTTTTATATCCTGATAATAAAAAATTCATTGCACATTCATAAGCTACAAAAATAATGTTAAGACTTGAGGAATTCATAACAACGAACCAAATAGCGGTGAAAACATTAAACAAATATGATTTAGTTGGAGGCTATTGACGTTAATAAATGATATTTTTGTGCAACAGAAGGGGATATACTGCTCACAATAAGCTATTGTAAATATATCGCTGTCAATATCAAAAGTTTATGTTTTCTAACGCCCTAGGTCTTGGACAATGTAGAGTGAAAGTGTTAATTAATTTGCTTCCGCCAGTTCATGCACATTTTGCCAGCAGGGAGGCAAGTTTAAGTAGTTCTCTAATATAATTTAGAGTTAAACTATTAAAACTTAATAATATTTGAAGCTAAATACCTGATACAGAGACGTTCTCCATCTAACCAAAGATCAGAAAGCTCAGAAGGCAATATTACGAACAAATAAAGAGAGGATGATAAAAAGAAGCAGAAGAAGGAAAGAAGTCAGGAGAAAAGCCATATGCAAATTTATTATTCCTTCCTCAAAGTGTAACAGATACATATCTACCCTTTATATACTCGTTTACATGGCATGAGCTGTAAATAAGTTAGAGGTAGAAAGGACAATTTACATAAGGTTAAAGTCTAATACATATTACAGCTGAATACAGGAACAGAGAGGCCCTAAACTCATTTCGACCGTTTGCGGCAGAGCTGGGAGACGCGAGGAGAGGAGAGGCACAGAGAGGTAAAATCGGCAGTCAGGTAAACTCATAATCTTGTTCTTGCTATTACCCCCCTTCAAGTTGAGGGGTGACCGTCAACTTGTTAGTGAGCATGTCATGCCGTTTGACTGGTAGAGCTTTTGTAAAGATGTCGGTGGATTGATCTTCTATCATATGATGATGTAGGTGAATTTGTTGTAGCCTGATGTGATCCTTTATGAAGTGGTAGTCAACTTCAATATGCTTTGTGCGTGTGTGGAACACCGGATTATGTACGAGGGCTATAGCAGAGGTACTATCACTGTAGAGAGGAGTTAGAGGAATTGTTTTTTATTAGCTCTTAAAGTCTGCGTAGCTAGATAATTTCTGCAGTTGTCAAAGCTAGAGCATGATACTCAGCTTCTATGGACGATCTTGCTACAGTGGGATGCTTCTAAGCTGTTCACGAGAAGAGGTTAGGTCCTAGGTTGATACAGTATCCTGAAATTGATTTACGATCTGTAGAGTCGCTAGCCCGGCCCGCATCTACAAAAGCTTGAAGAAGAATAGGATTAGAGGTAATAGGAAGACCATTATAGATGGTTGCTTTTAAATATCAAAGCAAGCGTTTTAGCTTATGTTGGTTTAGCAAGGTGGGTTGATGCATTGATTGGCTTAGGTGATTAACAATGAACATTATATCAGGTCTGGTGATGGTCAAGTATTGAAGGGATCCAATGATTTGTTTGTATAGATGTGGATCTTGTAGAGGTGTAGTAGGTTTAGAGAGTGAGTGAGGTTTGGTAGAGAGAGGTGTGAGAACAAGATTGGCATGTACCATCCTTGTTTTGTGCAAGAGGTCAGTTAAGTAGTGAGTTTGGTTGAGAAGATAGCTTTGTGCAGTGTTTTTTATGTTAATCTGAGAAACTGTGATATAGATCCAAGTTTTTTTAAATTGAATTATGTACTTAGAGTAGCTATTAATTTGTTGATGGCACAGATGGAGTTTCCTGAAATAAGTAAGTCATCCACATCCACTTGAAGGTAGATGCATATGTTGTACTGATTGTATATAAGCAGAGAATGATCGGTGGTGCTTAATGTAAATTTTTTACTGTATAAAAAGGTGCAAAAGGTGGAGTACCAATGACTTTGGTGCTTGTTTAAGTCCGTAGATGGCTTTATGTAATTTGCACACATGGTCTGGGTAATTTTGTCTTAAAATTTCAGAGGTTGTCATGTAGAAAATATCATCGAGTTTGCCGTGAAGAAAAGTATTTGAAATGTCGAGCTGTTGAATGTCCCATTATCTGTTGGCAGCTAGGGCAATAAAGAGTCTTATGGTGAGAAATTTAGCCACAGGGCTAAAGGTCTCTTGACAATCTACTCCTAGTTGTTGATTAAAACCCTGAGCTGCTAAACGAGCTTTATCTCGTGCAATGGGGCCATTAGTATGATGCTTAACTTTGAAGGTCCACTTGCACCCGAGGAGGTTATGAGATTGAGGAGGGGGAAGAAGCGACTAGTTTACCTGCTGTCGAAGAGCCATGAACTCCTCGGACATTGCTTGTCTCCATTTAGCATGGGAAAGAGCTCGAGTGTAAGTTAGTGGTGGGTCAAAGGAGGTAGTAATGTGATTGAGATCAAAGATGATGGTTGGTTTAAGAGTGCCAATTTGACGTCTGGTGACCATGGGATGGGTGGAGGTTTGATTTTTGGGGTAGGTGTTTGGTGGACAGTGAGCAGAAATTGGAAAGGCAGAAGAAGAGGGAGGTTGTGGATGAGATGAGGGTTCGTGTTGGGTGGGTGATGTGTGTGGAGTAAACAGGAGGGTTAGTAGTGTTTAAGACTGAATTCGGAATACCAGGGTAGATAGTGGAAGTAGGAATGAGTAAGACAGGGGTTGGGAGAAGTTTTGGATGAGGTGGGCTGATAGGGAAAAGAGTCTTCTATGAATGTTACATGTCTAAAAATAATAAATTTGTGAAGCTGAATATCATAACATCGATAACCTTTGTGTGTCTTACAAAGATGCAGCCTGGTGCTTTTGGTGACATTTTTTGTTTTGTTGATTGTGGTTGCCACGAAAAGCAAAGGCACCTAAGGATTCTGAGATGACAATATTCAGTAGATGTGTTGTAGAGTAGTTGGGAAGGAGATTGTGGTGTTGGTTGAAGAAAGACGATTTATAAGGTGCGTTGCAGTTGTATGGCATCCATCCAAGAGTGGATGAAAATATGAGCTATGTTGAGGAGAGTGCGAGCAGTTTCAACGAGATGATGATTTTTTCTTTCAGCTATTTCATTTTTTTTCAGGTGTGTAGGGACAACTTAATTAGTGTGTGATACCTTGATATGTTAGATAGTGTGTGAATTAATGGGAAATATATTTTCCGCCTCTATCAGCATGTTAGTATTTTATATCAGTATTGAAATGATTTTTTAATGTTTAATGTAATGAGATGAAGCGTGTAGTGGTTTCAGATTTATGCCGCATGAAATGCACCAATAATGGCGGAAAAAAGCATCAATAAAGGTGACATGAAATTTGTATCCTTCAGTTGATAAATGGGGAAAAGGCCCCCACACATCTGAAAGAATAATAATTTCACAAGCACTATAAGTTGTACTGCTGCATTGAAGAGGTAGTTTATAACTTTTATTTAAAAGCAGACAGTACAAGAAGAAAAAGGGGAGAAAATGTTGAGATGGGGATCGGATTGAGAGATCATGGTGAGCACAGCTTTGTAGGGGTGACCCAATCTATGATGCCATGTATTCGAGCGTTTGAGGGCAGTGAGGGCTGTGATCGGGTATAGCCCTTAATCAGTAGCTCCAACTAGAATTACTTTCTGTGTTGCAAGATCCTACAAATAAAAGTGGTTAGCACGAAAAATAATCTGACAAGTATTATCTTTTGTTAGCTATTGTGCTGAAATGAGATTATGGGATAAGTGTGGAACATAAAACAGAGGTGATAGTTTAAGCATACCATCAGGGGTGGAGAGAATGTTATTACCAACGTGTGTAATTTCTGTTTGTTGCCCATTACCTACTTTTACCTTTTCTGCTCCAGTGTAGACTTCAGTTTGTTGGAGATATTCCATATGTGAGGTGAAATGTGTCGTGGCGCCAATATCCATAACCCAGTCAATGGGTAGAGTTTGAACTTGACTCGTGAGGGCAGTGGGTTGAAGCGGTGGAGATGCTTTGTACTGAATATTGAGTCTATGCCAACAGTTGTATGCAGAGTGTCATTTTTTGTTGCATATTTGGCATAAGACTCGAGAAAAGGCGGCAGATGACCCAAAGTAACTTAAAGAAAACCATCGAAAACACGAAGAAAATCCGAAAAAAAAAAATCACAAGTGCTTTACAAAGATTTTGAGAAAGCCGTAGGAAAACACATAAAAAATCCGATTTTGATAAAACTATAGGAAATCAGATAAAAAATTCAAAGAAAGAAAGAAAGTCGTAAGCATTCGGGTCGGGTTAGGCTCACAATTAGGTATTCTCGAGGGACTCCGACGGCAACTATCGGTCACCCGTATGTATAGAGCCCGACATTCAAATAGAAAGATGTCCTACTATACCAACTTGGAAAGGTACTCCTTAGCCCAATATTAGCGATTGACAAGTGGACAATCGAATTATATTATTTAAAATTTATATTTTAACATGCGTATAGTCTTCATGCATACAATAAAAGTAGTGTCAATTTTAGTAGTCATAATACTTTAGAAAATAGTGTATTTGTTCTTATCATTTTTTTTTAATAAAAATATGATTGTTCACAAGTCGATCGAATCGTCGGGCCGGGACCACCAACAACCTAAGAAGGCAAGAGTGTTCTGCTATCCTGATGTCGGTGAATAATATTACCATCCTACATCTCACTGGGTCCCTAGATTGAGTCCTGATGTAGTAGGATGACATATTATTCCGTTCTACCACCGAATGTCTTTATCATCAATATCTAATACCCAAAAAACGACCGTCTCACTTACGACCTTGCTTGATGGTTTCATATATAACCAGAGTTATATACACGTATTTATATATCAGACATAAGCATCTAAAACCCAAACCAAGAAGCAAGGAAATAGAACCAAAAAGCAAGAAATGAAGAAGAAAGAAGGCTAACCCACCTCCAAAATAAATTTAGGAAAGAAAAGTCGAAACAGTAGAAGGGTTAGCCTAAAGCACCCACCCGATGGGACTTCTCAAATGAGCAATGGATGGGCACACTCCCTGATGCTAGCCAGGAACATCCTCGGAAGGCACAATTCAAAAGGCTCCACTCCACAACTAAACTTTCTCCAAATGCCAAAAGGATTCTCTTTTTTTTTTCTTCCCTTTTTTTTATTGCAATCAATTCAGCCCGCATAATTGGGCTTTGAAACATCTCCAAATATTTAGCAAATCATTCTTCGAAAAGGGGCACTCAAATTCTTCCAAATAATAAGAATTGAAATATCCTATTTCACCAATATGAAAGCATTCTATTCCACCTCGAACCAAAAGCTTCCAATGTCATACAAACCTAACACTATACCAGAAACACAACAAGTGCTCACGGCCAGAGGCAGCCAAGAGGTCAAAACCGAGCCCAACATAAGGAAATCACAACCATAAGCTCACGGGTAGAAGCAGCAGAGGGAAGCCACCAACTCCCAACACAAAGGAACCACAGACAACGACTCACGACCAGGAACAACAAGGGGGACCACCAAACAGGTGCACAAAGGAACCAACAGACACAAACAAGGGCTCTCGGGTAAGAGCAGCCAAAGGGGGAAGCCATCAGCTAACACCCAAACCAACAACCACAAGCTCACGAGTAGGAGCAGCCCAAAGGGGGAAGCCACCAACTAACACCCAACACAAATAAGAGAACACAACAGGAAGGCTCACGGCCAGTAGCCGCCAGGAGAGAACACTAACCCCACACCCACACCCTGGAACCAACAGGAGGGCTCACGGCCAGGGGAGCAACACAGGGCCCCAAAACAAGACTCCTAAGAGTTCCAAAAATCAAACATTTCTTCCAGCGTATGATTTGAATAGGGGGGCAGCAACATAAGGAGCAAAACCGAGCTACAAAACCAACTTCTTAAAGCATTCAAAACAGGTTCCAACATATATTCGAATAGGGGGAATAACATAAAACAAAATCAAGCCCCAAAACCAACTGCTCAAAACACAAAACAGATTCCAGCATATATTCGAACAGGAGCAACAGCATAAGTAGCAAAACCGAGCCACCAACACAGTTGCTCAAAGCAAGAAACAATTCCAACATGTATTTCGAACAAGAAAGACAACCACAGGGAGTCAAACTGAGCCCCTCCTTTCAAAGCTACCTCCCTTTCTTCTTTTTTTTTTTTGAAAGCTTCTAATGAGAAAATTAAACATGTCAATTTCGTCCAACATGTAGTTTGAATAGGAGAGTAACGGGAAGCAGGGAAACAAAAATAAGCCCCCCAATAGTAAAATTTTCCCTAAACATGCATTTCGAACAGGGTAAATAACAGGAAACAGAGAAACGCAAGTAAGCCTCCCTACAGCCAATCTTCCCTTCAACAGGCAATCGACTCGGCAAGGAGAAAAGAGAGAAGACCGCAGCCTTCAGCATACAGGTACAGAGATAATAAAAGCATAAGGAGAAGTCTTGCATGTGTAGAGGGGTTAAAACATGTTTTCCATAAACTACTATCTCAACTAACAGCATTGAACATTTAAAGCAGACCCAACAGAAACATTAAAGGCTTAGTAATCGATAGCAACGCCTTTATGAAATACCAGTTAAGACAAAACAAAGCCTTATGCATGCATTCCCCTATTTCAACATCTCAAGCATGTGTCGAGCAAGAAGAACAGAGAAGAGAAGGGAGAAATACCTTGCTCAAGACCTCCCAAAAACAACAACAGAAAAGCCACCAAGCTTCCAAACACCCAGCACACAAAGACCCAGTCGAGAAGAAATTTCGGCAGAACCTCCCCCAGGCTTCAAAATTCGTCCCTCTCACAGAGAACCCCCCACAAGGTTTTATAGGCACAAGAGAGGAAAAGGAGCTCGTGGAACCTACCTGGACAAGCACGATACCCAGCTGAAAGAAAACATTGCAGCCAAGAACACAGAAGAGAACTATCGGGAAGGAGGAGAAGTTTCCCCATTCGTGACCCAGGGAACAAACGCACAGGGTCAAACTATTGCTAATGACCTCCTGCGCAGCGAGACAAAGCCAAAAGATGTTTCGGGAAGCTGCAACTCGAGCAGAGAAGAGAATAGAGAGGGAAATCAACTTCTCGTCACGCAAGGAGGAGAAATGAGCCCAAAGGAACAAGCAATTAGGGCTCAATCCAAGCCCAGGCACAAAGAAGAGAATCGAGCTGAACGCAAAAGCAAATTAGAGATTTAGGGAAGGTTAAAAGCTCAGCACCCCCCCCCCCCCACTTTCAACAATC